CTTGCATATTTGGATTTAACACTGAAGATGTTACCTAGCCAGGTAATGAAACGTTTGCAAGAAAAGAACCAAGCTCAGAGAACCCCAAGGACTCCACAGTTCAACCCTCTATTCACCTCTAATAATCCTGATAATAAGGCCTCAATTTTTATCTCAGTGAAAGTTTCTGCATGTAAAATGTTTAATCTAGAACTAATTTTTATTTTTACTTTAAGATATGTATTAATCGTTGTCTTGAAAGAGGAAAGAGCAGTGGCAGAAGTGATGACAACAGGGAAAGTTTGGAGAAGAGGTACAATGTTCATACAGAATTTTACTGTTTTGGTTTTCTGATGCTTTTCAGTTAAATGATTTCTTCTTTTATTTTATTTTTTACCTTAGAATTCATACATATCTAGAGTCTACTAAGCCCATAATAGACCTCTATGAGAAAATGGGCAAAGTTAGGAAAGTGGATGCCTCTAAATCTGTTGATGAAGTAAGTTGCAAAGAAAAGTCTGGGATTAAATTGCTTAATGTTTTACATATATTTGTCTCCTGAAGTTTTGTATATTTTGCTATATAAATGTGATATATAGATAAATATATAAATACATATTTCAAATATCTGCTTCTCTTGTATATCAAGGAAAATCCAATTAATTTTGTGTCAGTCTTAAAAAGATCATATTAGTCAAACAATGTATATTCTGTTTCAAGGTAATTGAAGTGGCATAACTTACTGAAAATTCAATATGTTATATTGTACAATAAAGTACAATAAAATTCAATATGTTATATTGTACAATAAAGCAAATAAGTATTTCTTGAGGTTTTCATACATGCTCAGGATTATTTATTCGTAGTGGGAAATGGTCATTTTTGTATCAAAGTAGCAGAATTGTGCTTTGATATAAAACACAGGTGTTGAAATCTTCATTAAGCACACAAATATTGCAAAAGAGTAATAGTATGTATAATATTTTCCCCAACCCAGGTAGCCTCCAAATGTGTGGAATTCACCACCATTACTGAAAATTCTAGGATCACTGTAAAGGGAGTTATACAGGAAAAGGACACATTGCTCCTGATATCTAATCAAAGAGCTTTGGTGTGCTACTCAGTAACTACTAGTCAGAAAGAGTTCACACAATCTGATTCTAAACTCAGAGCTTTTTCCAAGAGAAATTCCAAAATTGTCAACACATTACTAGTAGAGAAGACAATAGGTAAGGGTAAAGATAGAGATTCTGTCTCTATGTGATTGACAGATACATATACTGGTGAATAAAAGGCTAATTTACCAGTAAGTTTTGTTTCACCCACATTTAGGACTTTTAAAAAATGTTAAAGCGCGCTTTTTTGTATGAGTCTTGAACAAGTCCAGGCAGTTTTCTTGGCAAAATTTTCAGAAGTGGTTTGCTGCTGCCTGCTTCCTAGGGCTAAGAGAGAGTGACTGGCCCAAGATCACCCAGCTGGCTTTGTGCCTAAGGCAGGACTAGAACTCATAGTCCCCAGGTTCTAGTCTGTTCCTTTAACTACTATACCCAGCTGGCTATCTTAAGTACACTATGGGTGTGTATGTATGTGTATATATTTGTGTGTATTGTTATTATCTGCTTTTCTAGTTTTTATACGTTTTAGAAACATTGGATTATATATGTATTTTTGTTATCTGACCAGAGAGTTTCTGTTATTGACTTACAGAAACATAGTAAATAAAAAGTATACTTCTATAAGGTGTCTATCCTTCACCTTAATGATTTTTAAAAGAAAAATTAAAGTTTTTTTAAAAAATACAAAACTGCTCGAGAAGTTGTGTGCAAGTTGTGGTGACATCAGAGGTGCCAATAAAATGCCATTATTTTATTTTAATAAACACCTCATAAAATGCATTTCTTTAGCTGTTGTACAATATAATGTGTAATATCCACACTCAATTTCTCCTTATTTGAGTAAGTTGGGATGGTGCTTCCAAATTGAGCCCACCATTGCTCTAAAGTTGTTCCGAAAGTTATCCCCAGTTATCTTGTGCTGGGTGTTATGCCAGTCCACAGCTGCATAATAGAAGACAAAGTCTAATGTACAGAGTGATTAGAAGAATCTAAGAACTGAATTCCAGAATCACTTTCTAAACTCTCTGTATGCTTCTCATTTTTTAGAATGCATCATGTGGTCTTATTGGTATTATATACAAACATTGTTTTGTAATATCTCTTTCAGGTTTTTGGAAAAGTGGTGAACATCTTTGAAAAAGAAGGCTAGTTCTTTCCTTGAACATTCTTTTAAAAATGCTTGAATCTTGCTTTAAGAGCTGCTACTATAGGCCATTTTATAATAGTAATGAAAATGCCTTTTAAAATATTTGTGTGTTTAAAATAGTTTTAAAATTATTATTATTTCGAACAGCGTTTAAAATATGACTTGAAAGTGGCTTGTTAAAATGTCAACATTGAAAGTGACTTGAAGTTAGGAAAGAATCTTAACTGTAGAACAAAACTAATAATCAAATTATATTTGTTCTAAACATATTATTTCTGGAAAGCATGCTTTTTCCCTTATTGCCAAAAGCCATGTTGTTTTTCAGAGTCCCACAAACTGAAATTGTAAATATGAATGAGAGGGCCCATTTAGTTTCTTGATAGTTTTGTACCAAATATAGGGAGTTGTATGAGGAAGTTTTATTTTGTACTGCTTAAAAAATAAATACATATTTGCTGTTTTCAATAAGGTAGTTTTAATTTAAACATAGCATACTTTCTGATTTCATACCTTTTGCTTAAATGATTGCTAGGAAAAGAAAAAGAATTACAAAGTAGCTTAAGACCTCTGAAAAAGTGGTAATTCAACCCACAGAATGGAAACTGTCTATGTGGGGGAGTGGCTCCTTTGCCAAACAGTTTGGGATGCTGCAATATGAGGATCATAGGGATGAATAGATAGCCCCAAACCCAACGCTTGAGTTGGGTTTGACGCAAACTGTTCATACAGATCACAGTGAGACACAGGTATTTGAAGTCTCATTATTTCAGTGGGGTATAAATGTGACTGACTGAGATGGGCTACTACAAACCAATGTGTTTAGGTGTGTTTAGGACTGAATTTTCCGATTATGTAGGTGCCATTTATTTGCATGTGTATTTACCAGTTATATGGGCGTTGAGTATTTGTGATACTCAAAAGACTAGATAGAATTTTGCAATCTGATGTTTGAGGGCAGCTATTACATCAACATTCTTCTGCCACATATTTCGCTGCATGGTAAATGATGAGAAATTTTGTAACAAAATTGCTTATTTATTCTGTAAGTTGAAGTGTTTGGGATTGGCTGGAGGGAAATATTCTTATGACTGTTTATCCTGATAATTTTGCATAACTTGAAGATTTTGTTCAATTATACTTTTGATATAATTTGACCAATGTAAATGATACTTTTATTTTTTAATTCAATGTATGTGTTTAAATTTAATGCCATACTGGTAGGAGAAATACATTTTAAATAAATAATTGGATATAAAACATGTTTTTTATGTTTCTACATTTGTGGTGATTGCATCTTTAAAATTAAAATTTGTGCTAAGAAGACACAGAACTGAATATTTTGGGGGGATTTTTTTTCCCTTAAAAGGTCCATTGAGTAATACCTAGAAATTGATTGATTGATTGACTGATTGATTATGTGCCATCAAGTCGTTTTCAACTGCTAGTGACCACATAGATAGACTTTCTTCATGATGATCTATCCCTAGTCTGTTCTTTCAGGTATCTCAACAGTGCACTCATTGCCACATAACTGAGTCCATCCACCTTCCTGCTGGTTGTCCTCTTCTTCTCTTTCCTTCCACCTTGCCCGCATTAGAGTTTTTTTCCAGAGATTTAGATCTGTGCATAATGTGTCTGAAGTAGGATAATGTGACCCTGGATATTTGTACCTCAAGTGAGGACTCTGGGTTGATTTGTTCAATGCTCCATCAGTTTATTTACCTAGAAAACCTAAAGATATAAACTCATGGCCCGATAAAATATACTAAAATAGTTTCTAGGGAAAGAGAAATCACCCCTGTATGGTAGCCATATAGCAGAAGAATATTAGTTGGTAGAGCGGCATGCTCTGATTTATAACACATGAACATTGTAAACTTGAACTTGATCAAAATGAGGCGCATGTGCTCTGTACCTGCTGTAGTTGGCCACAAGGAGGAGCGCTTGGGTTGTATTGAATGGACTGAGCTGGCAAGAGAAAAACCTTATGTTCTCGGTGCTCATGTCCCATGGAAATAACATTTTAGTGTTCACTATCCCATAGAAGTGATGTAATTTAAAATGTGAACTTCAGTAGCAAGAAATATGTTATACTTCTGTGATTGGATACCTCTGTGATAAAGTGAGGTGCTTTAATGTAAATTGCAGAACAGCTTTCCCCAATTTGGCTGCATCCAGATGTGATGAATTGTAACAGTTGTAATCTCCAGATTATGGCCCTGTTAGCTGAACGTAATGGTACTTATAATCAATACATTTTAAGGTAATTGTAATCAATATATTTTAAAGGTATCACATTGGGGAAGGCCACCCTAGGGACACCACACTGCATTCTCAGAAATGAATTGCAACATTTGAAGGTGTAACTGGCACCAGACAACAGTAAATAATACAGTATGAAAATCATTCATCATAAAAATTGCTATAGTTTAGAGTCTAACAGACAACACTTCAATGGGAGATTTCTGGCCTGTGCTATGAACTTGCATTGGCCTTAAATAAGCTTAATAAACCCCCATCATCTATATCCAGAAATATTGCCAAGAAAATCACATGGAAATGTTCAGCTCAAGGGAGACTTCACTGTGTTATGAAACACTAGTATAATCCATGTCACTGAGGTTCTGAGGTGCTGTCTACATGCAGTTCCTGAGTCTGGTAATCTGAGATGTTGGCACAAAGATGATCTAGTTTTTCTTTCCCTCTAATCCAGTTGTGGCCCTGGAATCCCTGAAAACACTCTGGAATCATTATTGAATTGGATGAAGTCTGATAAGAGGAAGCTCAATTCAGACAAAATGTGAGGTGTTCTTACTAGGTTTCATAATTAGCTATGGACATGATATTAGCCTCTTTAAGGATCCATTTCCATATTAAGAATTCATGTTTTAAATCAGCTTTCCACAACCTGGTGCTCTCCAGATGGGTAGATTTCAAGCACTATCATTCCTCTTTGTTCATGCTGATTGAGAATAAGGAGCATTGGTTTAATATAAGTTGGTGAAGCCTGTTTTCATACCAGTCTTGCTTATGGCTACTCAACTGCTATCCATGCCATAGAGCACCAACTGCTAACCGTAACGTGAGCATAAACCTAATGAACGTAATCCTGCCCCAATTAATCTAAAATTTGGAAACTTTCAAGTTGAGGTAAACTTAGCCAGTTCAAGCCTCCATGGCAAGATGATTTAATAGGATTTGCCTTCCTTTATGTTGACACATTATACCTTAGCTGGATTTTTTACTGTAAGGTAAAATCAGAAGTAATGATAGGGTAAGCTCTTATAAGGACAATGATTGAGGCATCAAGATTTGGGTAGTATCTAAACAGTTGTGAGAAATCTGCTTCTCTCAGAGCTTTGGCCCTACACTTTCTGTAGTTCCAATTGATATATTTTAAATGGCAAGTTATTTTGCAGTATATCTGATTTGATCTCTGGAACACTCTGAAGGAGAGGCTAGGTATTAATTTTATAAATATCTATTTCTCTGAAGGGAAGTTGCTTGACGTAAAATGATAAGCATGAAAAGCAGTCTCTGAGATGCACTTGGAGTACAGCAGTGCTCTACCTTGGGGTGATTTAAAGAGTGCATGTTTAAAGGTCGGGTGTGGCCAGGTGGGCAGTGCAGAACCAAAAATGTGTCCCCAGTGTGCCAAACTGATGCTGTGCCTCAAGTGTAGTGTCACAAGCTGCTGCAAGCCAAATTCCATAAAAGAAGAAATCCAAGTGCTCTCGTCTTGTCTCTGGGAAGAAAGATGCCATAAAAGCCTAATAAAGTCAAAAGCTTTTTATTATTCTAAAATGAGCTACTCTCTGCTTCTAGCCTTTCAGTACATACTGAAGACTTATCTCCCCTAAAGATTTAGTCTGGGCCCAAATCCCATCACCTTGCCTCTTTCTTCTCCAGAATGAAAGCTGTCATCACATCCCAGAATCTTTTAAGTCTGCCTCAATACTTGTTGTCTCTCTTGCTTAATAAAAGACGGCTGGGGGGAAAGAGGCTATGCATTAGGTCATCATTCTCTGCCGGATTTCTTGTTCTTTCACTGTTAGCCCAGGACTGCTGCTTGCCATGATTGTGTCAAACCAAATTTCTGAAGAAAAGCTTCTTTGAGGAGAAGCAAAGCAGAACAAAACAAAGTGAGTCTTCTGTGTCTCGGAATAGGTTAGATAGTGAAGCTGTACCTGTGAGTCTTTCCCTCTGTGGACTTGCTGGGACTATTTTATTTGCTTTTCTGCTTTATGTATTGCTGGTTTAATTTTTAATTTTAACTTCCTCTGATGTTGTTGTTTAGCTTTATACTGAAAACATATTGTACGCCTGCATTGAAAGGAGATCTCTGAAGATAGTACATCAATTTAGTGAATGATAGACTGCCCCTTGTAGCAAAAATACCTACAATAATAGAAGATACTGTAACAGAAGATACACTTCTATGCTATAAAGTATCTTCTGTTATAGTATTTTCATATATTTGGTTATATATTACAGTCTGTTACAGTAGTAGTAGTTTAATGTAATGTATCTACTCTATATTTTAGTATATTCTGTCACTGTAGGAGTTATAAAATAGTAGATGTAAGAGGAGTGACTGAACATTCTATTGTCATTACAGTAATAAAGACATTTTATTTCACTTAACCCTGTTAGTCTAAGCTCTGAAAATAAGAAACTTGATTTTTTTTGGTGGGGGGAGGGGGTGGCAAATGGCAAGTAAGGGAAGAAAGTAAATAAGGTAGCTATTGAAATTTCACCAAAAGGAAGAGAATACATCACACACAAAAGAAAGAAAAGGAAAAAAGATAACATTGATTTGCATAAAATATGTTTGTGTTAATTTATGTGTAAGTGCAGGTTTTAAAGGCATTGCTATAATCTAAATAGAAATGCAGTATGTAACAGGGGAGGAAAGATTGTAACCAGTAGACCTGTCACCTTTGTAATACAAGCCGGTATTAACAATAGGTGAACAACAGGAAGATCCCTGCTCCCTCATTCAGTAGTTACTTTAAGCCAAAGTTGTACTGCATAGCTTTTCAGAACATAGATTCTTTCCAGGCAAAGTCTGTCCTTTGATAGCACTTTAATAAGAACCCTATCTTCTACAAAGTAGGACACATTCTTTCCAACCCCACCTTATGGTGTCCTTGGGCTACATATATTTTCTTCTATTGTCAATCCCACCTTATCTCAGGATATCTGGGGGGGATACTCAAGGGGAGTTATATATCTTTAATTTTTAATCTCTCCTAGCTATATCAGATTATTAACTTTCACATACTTAAAACTTGCAATTTCTTATAACCATATCCCATGACTACTAGGGAAAAAATGCTATGGTACTTCCACACCACCCAGAAAGTTTAAGTTGGTAAGTCTATAAAACTGAACATTGGTAGATTTTGTTTAGAACATACCACAAAAGGATCAGGTTATTTCAATATTATTTTTCTCAGATTTATGTTCAATTTATGTTCAAAATTGTTAAGTAGGCTGAACTGCAGATAATCTATTTTATGTCTAATGTTAAAAATTTAAAAGCTGAAGCTGAATTTTAATGGAGGCCAGCACTTTAGCACTGTTTCAATTGGAGCCACTAGAAGAAAAGAATCTCTCAATATGGATGTGTTTTGTTTTGTTTTTGCTGTCCTCTTTGTTTAACCAAATCTGAGAAAAAATCTGTTTCACATGTGGACAGAGCCTAGTTCTGTTCTATTTGGTTTTGATTGATGAGTGCCATCAAATTAGTGTCAACTCTTAGTGGACACATAGATAGATTCTCTCCAGGATCATCTGTCTTCCACTTAGCCTTATGATCCCATATAGTTCTCTGAGCCTTGAGGTTAGGATAGATAATATCGAATTTAGGGATGCAAAAAGTGTGGACTGGAAGCTGCTGACATTCTTTTTGCAACTTCCAATACCCACCCTAAGAGTAAAGCCAATCATTTCAGCCTATTTTTGCATTTTTAATTGAGGGGGCTAAGAACACATTTTTTAAAGACACCAGCTTGCCTTTTTTGAGCCTTTGGTACTTTTGGAGTGGAGTCTCAACTTCATCTTGAAGATCAGCCTTGAAGATGATGGAAATTGGGCAGTCCCAATCCATTTAAATCATAGTTTGTATGTGCATGACCCCGCTCCTTTTTAGAAGCTCTAATACCAGAGCCAATAATGAATTACAGGCCCATTGTTCAATTGTAGAAGGGCACATAGCTCATGATTGCTGTTTTTCATCTTCAATGGC